GAAATTTGTACACCAGAGTACATAGCAGTGTTATTCACCATGGCAAGAACAGGGAAATGGCCCAAATGTCCAACCACAACTGAATGGATTGAGAAATTGTGGTACATTCACACAATGGAATACCATGCAGGACGCAGGAGCAATGATTTTAAAAAAAATACTAGATAACTTGGGAGAGCCTGGAGAGTAGTATGCTGAGTGAACTAATGCAGTCTCATAAGGACAAATAGTGCATAAGACCATTATTTGTTAAAATAGAAGGATAACTAGTAAATCCTGTATGGGAAGTCAAAGGGGGGGAGCCCTGAGGATGGTTAGGGGTGAAAACACAGTGTTACACAGTTTAGTGGGTGAAGGGAGGAGGGGAAGGAAATGGGAAGGATCTGGGCAAAAAGACAGGATAATGATGGGCAAGGTCCAATGGTGATTAATTTTAGAAAACATAATGCATGAGAATGAATGAATGAAACACAATGTGAATGAAGAATAGTGTGAAATACAATGTGTACAAAATTTGTAAGTAAACCAATTTAGAAACAGAAGAATATGCCTTGCAATATAAATCCAGTACTTTCTTAGAGTACTTTCCAAGAGTTGGTTGTGATTTAAATCAGCATGAGTATATACATATTGTAAGAAAAGCCCAGGAGGGTTAATGGATAAAGTCTATTTAAAGACAGCGTTTCAAACCTGTTAGCTGTGTTTCGACTCTGAGTTAGAAATGCAACTTCTTGTTTGGGGGAACCCAAGGAAACAATTTGAAGTCCTGCTATAAGGTGTATCATTTGGTCACTGAACAAGCAAGTATACATCATCACAGAGTCACTGCTGGAATAGAAAGACATTTTGAATTCAACATTTTGAAAACAATAAAGATAACTCACAATAGGATAAAAGCAAAAATACTCTTCTAGCCCTGTGGGAGGCTAGAGAAGCCGTTAGTGCCTCCCACACAAGGACACGGTAGTTAAGAGTATGGACTTTGTAGTTAGAGTGACATGGGCTTAAATCCCTGCCACATAATGTTGGGCTCTGATGGCTTAGCCCCTTACAGAGCTGCTCACTGAAAGGCTGTGTCTTTCTGTAAAGGGTCATATGACGATGTATACTGTTGAGTCAGAACTGACCCATAGCTGACCTTCTTGTGGTTTTCAGAGACAGTTGACCGCATGGGAAGTGATGGTCCGTCCTTTTCCTGCAGAGCAGCTGGTAAATTTAAACTGTGTGCCTTCAGGATTGCAGTACAGCTTCTTGCCACTAGGCCACTAGTAGTAAATGTTTGTTGTTTTGTGGGCTATGCAGGCTCTGTTACTGTTAATATGTTACTGTGCTGTGTAGTATAAAAGCAGATGCAGCCAAAATGGAAATAGAAATGAATGAGTGTGGTTGTGTTTCATTAAAATGCCATGAAAATGGAAATTTGAATTTTATATTATTTTCACACATAACAAAATAACACTCACATTTTAATTAAAAATTATTTAAATATTTTAAAGTATTAGCTCATATGTCAGATAAAAATGGGTGATAGGCTGGAATTGGCCAGTGAGTTGTACAATACTGATTCCTGAGAAATTCCCCATTTCTTTGACTCTCATTGGGTAATGTCACAATTTTATTTCAAAGATGCTTGTGTGCATGCAAGCACAATTTGTTTATAACTTAATGAGATAGAATATATTCTGCCCCAAATAAAAAACCAAACAAGTTGACAACTTGGTGGTTCTGATTTATGACAGTGCCAATCAATGAGTGTTAAACTAGAAATGGACTCCAGCGGGTTTCATCAATGGCTGACATTTTGGAAGTGAATCCCCAGGTGTTTTTTTTCTGAGGTACTTCTAGACTTGAATCTCTCACCTTGCAGATAGCAGCCAAGCATGTTAATTGTTTGCATATTTAAAATATGGCATAAATATGGAGTTAAAAATAAGTGCACTTAACATCCTGCATAGTTGCCTTCCCCAAATATTATTGCTATACCTGATATTAACATTTTGGAGACACATCACCCACAGAAATGAACTTTGAATGAGACATTATGCTATCCATGAGATAGCTATGAATATAATGCTTAGAATGTAGGTGTCACTACTAAGGCCCTTTGAGCACATAACTGTTTGTCATCTTTAATTGGTACCATTCATTCCTTTATAAAAAAAATAATATCTTTATTGGTTTGCTCACGAAGTTCACATGCATTGTATTTCATACTATTCTTCTTTCATATTGCATTTTGCACAAACATTCCCATGCATTATGTTTTATAAAATCAATCAACTTTGGACCTTTTACCCAATCATTACCCTCATTACCTAACCTTTTCAAATCTCTGCCACATCTTTCCCATTTCCTTCATTCCCTCCCTCCACCCACAAAACTGTGCAACCCTGTCGTTTTGCCTCTACCTATGCTCACCTGTCTGCTCCCCACCACTTCTCTCTTTGGGTCCCCATACATTTTTTTAATAGTTATCCTTCTATTTTCATAGAAAATAATGGTTTTATGCAGCATTTGTCCTTACGAGACAGAGTTAGTCCACTCAGCATAATGCTTTAGTCTCTCCCAAGTTATGTAGTGTTTCTCAAAATCGTTGCTCTGGAGTGCTGCATAGTATTCCATTGTGTGACTCTACCACAATTTCTCAATCCATTCAGTTGTAGTTGGACATTTGGACCATATCCATGTTCTTGTGATGATATGTAACTATGCTATGAATATTGGTTTATCAACCTCCATTTGTGTCTCAGTTTTAATATCCTCGGGGTATATTCCTAGTAGTGGAATATCTGGGTCATAAAGAGTTTCTATGTTCAATTTTTTGAGGAAACATCAAACTGTATTCCAGAGTGGTTGTACCATTTTAAAATTCCACCAACAGTGTATGAGAGTTCCCATCTCTCCTCACCCTCAGTCATTCCTTTTGACCCACACTGATTAGGAAGAAATTGTCAGATTACTGATCAGATGATGACAACAAATGACAAATTATCTATGAAAAAGACATTTATCTAAGCCTTTCATCTCTTTATCTTTTTCAAGCATAAATAAAAATCTTTTAATATCATTCATAATGATTTAAAAACCATAATAATTTAAGGAAATAATAATTAAAGATCTAAGAGCAAGATAGATTCCTGTGGTCAGGTCAAAATAGGCAAAGAGGATCATCAATCCCCACATTCTGGAAGATTCCCTAGCATTTGGCAGCCAGCAACCTTGGTTCATGCTTCTAGTCACCGTAGATGAGTGTGATAATGGTAACTTAGTACCCTCAGAATGAGCTGAGTGGACAGAATCTGTGTCAGACACCTCCTTCTTGATTTATGGAAGAAGCACATCCATATGCTCAGCTAAGCCTCAGGGGCTTACGGTATTTGAGTGTGTTATGGATTGAAGTGTGTTTTTACTTCTCCTCTGTTATACACGCTGAAATTCTAGCCCTTATAGCTATAGATAGGACCCTGTTTGGAAAAGGGCATCCTTGGTGGTAAACTGGGTTAAGTCTTGGGTTCTTCATGGTAAGATTAGAGGTTCAAACTCCCTAGCTGCTCCATAGAAGAAAGCTGATGCAGTCAGTTCCCATTAAGAATCAGTCCTTATCCCGTGGGATTGCCATTAACCAGAATTGACTCCATTGCTGTGGGTTTAGGTTTCTATTTAGAAATAAGGGGTTTTCTTTGCTATGTGAATGAGCTCATGCCTTAGTAAAATGGTTCCTGAGCCTGAATTATGTTAAAAAATAGGCATAGAGGTACACAGGGGACAGGTGCCCCAAGGACACAGGCACATATTAGCAGATCCAGCTACAAGCTCATGAGCTCCATGGATTGCTGGCTTCCTGAAGTTGGTGACTTAGCCCATGGCGAATAGTGCTGCCAACCTCAAAGGCACCTCAATCTGTCAGTGGCTTCTTGTGGGAGAACTATGGGAAATCTCCTGTGCATTTTACAGCCTTGGAAAACCAATGGAGGGTCAGTTATGAGTCCATTCTGGCTTTAAGATAATCAAAGGGGTAAAGGGTTATAGAGGAGAGTGAGAAAAGTAAAAACAGACTGGAAAGGATCTTCTCCAAGAGACAGATGCTGTATGTGAACTTATACACTCCTGAATTGTGAGAAAATAAGTATCTGTTCTCTAAAGCCTGTGATAATTTTCTTAAAGGTGACACTAACTAAATAAGATGCAGAGTGAACAGCCGAGTTCACTCACAGGCTAGGTCTCTGCAAATCTATGTCTGTGCCTGGAAAGTAAAGACCTGCAAAAGCATGCCCTCCTCATGAAAGCAAGAGGTTCCCATGTGTTTTTACTGCACACACAAAGGATGCATGTGAGGGATATTTTAGAAGACCATAGATATCCTCCTGCTCAAGGCATAGCTGAGAGGTCTCAGTGCTTAGGTATCTGGCCAATCCTTATTTCTAGAATTCTCTCAGCCAGGACTATGATCACAGCAGTGGGCTGAGAAATATCAGTGATCCTCCTACCTCTTGTAGATATAAATTCCTTCAGAGCTTCCCTCAGAGCCTTTTCTCTGGTGCTTCATTGTTGACGGTCCTGGGAAGGAGAATGGGCCCCAAATGTGGTCTGGTTCCTTGCCCAACAGACTATCAATATGTATCTTTACCTTGCTGACCTCTCTTTCTCTAGAACTACTCTTCTCATTGGATGGGGGCATATCTACCTGTTGCTGTCAAGTCAGTTCTAATTGATAGTAACTATACGGCATAGAGTAGAACTTTCCCAGTGCTGTTACTTTTGTGAAAGGAGACTGTCTTATCTGTCTCCTATGGAGCAGCTGTTGGATAAGAACTGCTGACTTTTTGGTTAAGAGCTCAGCACTTAATCTATCACATTATAAGAGCTCTTCATAGGATAAGGAGTAAGATTTGTACATCAATCTAGAAATGCAAATGGTACTTATCATGAGGGGAGCCAGCTCTCTCTTAAAGGAGCTCCAAGTTCTCACTGATTCCACAGTGTGACATCTTCCATTCCAGGTACCCCAGACTGGCTGCAAAACACCGAGAATCCAACACAGCAGGCATTGACATCTTCTCCAAGTTCTCCGCCTACATAAAAAATACAAAGCAGCAAAACAATGCTGGTGAGTGACTCCCTTCCTCTGTGCCTTGTGCTTGGCTTGTGAGCCTTTGAGATAACAGCATCAGAGAAACATCCGGAGTGAATACTGCTTAACTGTTTACTTAGAATGGGAGAATGTTCACCTCACTTTTCCTTTGATGTTGGGAGGGGTTTGTATATCCTTTTCTGCCTGGTACTCAAGGAAAGGCCAGCTGGACCATATTGCTGAATTTAAGGTAGGGATGTAATTGGAATTCTGAGTGTTCCTTGTTGTACAACATAAAACACTGCAAGGAGCACTTCTGTTGATTCATCCCGAATTCACCAAGATGCTTGTATTCACAGAAAGTGGGACAATACATACTGATTCCTTAGGGTCCCTGAAATGTGGTTGACCAGAAGATGCAGGAAGATGCTGGAGGCAGATGTATGGTCTGCTGCTTTTATTCCTGTACAGAAGACACTGGGAAAGCCCTGGCTTCAACTTCTATCTGGTCCTTAATGTCTGGCATTGATTACATACAGATCTGAGTCTGACTCTTTTGTGATTGTTGCTTATTTGGGTTTAAGTGCCTCATTATTGCTTACAGCACATTTATATTCTAATTTGACACTGCTGTTGAAGAATTCAAACTCAAATTCATTGCCATGGAGTCAGAACCAACTCATGGGTGACCCCCCACCACCACCACCACCACGGGCTTTTGGGAGGCTGTAAATCGCATAGGAGGAGATTGCCCATTTTTCTTCATTGGAGCCCTTCATGCATTCAGATTTTCAGAGAGTTGCCACTCTTGATTTTAGCAGAACACCACCCTATGAACTGCATATCTTGCCACTGTGAGATCTGGAGGTCTCTGATGGTGTAGTTCATAGATTGAGCCCACAGAGAAGTAATTACATAGGTTACTAGAACAACTCCCTACAGACTATCGCACCAGAGTTCTTTCTTTAAGAATTTATTATGATGATTTAAGTAAAACCATTAAATTGAACATGTGTTTGGAGATATTTCCTAGGCCATGTAAGGAGGGAGAGTTTCTTGTTCTCAGAATGACTATGGCATCCTTATGAGCTGGAGTCCCTAGAATCCAGCACAGTGCTAATCAGAATGATTGTGAATATCTGAGAATGAATGAGTGAAGGAACACACAAGCAGTGAACTTAAGCAAGTCAGTATATAACAGATGCCCTAAAGGAGTCAGAAAAGAATATTCTTTTGGACCAAAGTGATTATGAAAGGCAGCATGCTCAGGGTTGAGCAAGAAAAAATTTTGGCTGCAACAGAGTAGACACAGTGGGAAGTCAATGATTCACTAAAGTTACTGAGTTCTGAGATTATGTCAGCTATTGAATTTGATTCTGAAGCCTAAAGACATTTTCCCAAGCTTCAAGGCATTGGTAGATTGGAAGAAATGAGTTAAATCTGCAAATACTGTAACAAGAGAAGAGATTAATGATAGCTTAATACAAACACACACAGATGCCAGTGGATTGATTCTAATTCACAAGGCCCACGTGTGCATCACAATTTAACTGCACTCCACAGTGTTCTCAGTGGTTAATTTTTTTAGAAGTAGGTCACCAGATGACTTCTGAAACATGACTGAGTGGATTCTAACCTTCAACCCTCTGGCTAGCGGCCAAATGCATTAACTGTTTTCACCACCCAGAAACTCTGACATGATAGAAAACTCTCCATTCATTACCACTCGGTTGGAACCAACTCATAGCTAGCCCTCTAGTGGATTTCAAGTGCTATAAGTTGCATGACAGGAGAGTGCCCATCTTTCTCCTGGAGTCACTGATGGATTTGAACTACCAGAAGGATGATGTGTTTGGGTTAGTGGTGAAACTCACTACAAGCTATGCCACCAGAGCTCCTTGGCTTAATAGAAAGGAGTCTGAATTATTAGAGTCCTTTGAGAAAACTCTTTGAAGATATTTTGACTGCGTCATAAACCTTAAGGGAGAATTAGTTGATAAGAAATGTCAGGAGAAGACTTGAAGAAGGTAAATCAGAATAAGGAATAAAGACGTGTAAGCATAGCTCAGAACACTGGACTGTTATTCTGTGGGCAAGGGGTAGTTATTGGAAGTTCTTAAGCAGATACTACTACAACATGAGTGGCCTTTTAGGAACAATAAGAGGAAGCATGTGGAAAATAATTTTAGATATAGACAGTGGTTTTCTATCTCGTTGCTGTGTGGATTCTGACATAGGTTAAATAACCTACCAAAACCATCACATTGGAATTGGAGCTGACACATGACTGAGGTTTTCAGAGGTAGTAAATTGCACTAGAAGAGACTACCTATCTTTCTGCCTTTGAACAACTGGTGGATTCAAACCACATGCCTTTGGATTGCCAGCACAATTCCTTACCCACTGGTCCATCAGAGCCCTCAGAACTCAACACCTGCCTGAATATGATCTTACATTGATACAGGGTTTTTGCTGATATAATTTGTTAAGGATCTCAAGATGGAATCATCCTAGATTTAGCATAAGCCCTAAATCCAGTGATCAATATCCCTTTAAGAAAAGGAGAGTGCAGACAGAGACACAAGGAGAGGAAAGACAAGTGAAGATAGAGGCAGAGGTTGAGAGGTGCTGCTATAAAATGAATCACAGCTTCTGGCGCCACCTGAAGCTGGGAAAGGCAAAGAGGGATTCTCCCCTAGAGCCTTCAAAGGGAGCGGGATCCTACTGATAACCTTGTTGGATTTATTTACCTCCTGACTTCTGGGGTTTCCAAATCTGTAATCTTTATGGAATCAAACTGTCACATGTTTTTCTCATAGAGTCACTGGTGGGTCTCAGCTGCTTTCAGATGACCTTTCAGATGACAACTGAGCACTTAGCCATCAGGACCCTTCCTGTTCTTTTAAGCCACCAAGGTTGTGATTGTTATGATAGCCATGTTGCTGTTTGTTACTGTGTGCTGTCAAATCAGAACCCACTCATAGTTGATCCTCCATGAGTTTTCAGAGGTAGTTAATCACATGGGAGGAAATAATCCATCCTTCTCCAATGGAGCAGCTGGTGGACTTGAACCGTGTTCCTTGACGTTGTCAACACAACTCCTTACCACTAAGCTACCAGAGCTCCCTATGTCGCACTAGGTCACCAGACCTTAGAGAGTGATCTAGTGGGTAAAAAGTTGTGCTGCCAACCCAAAGCAAATAGTTTGACTCTACCAGCTGCTCTGCAAGAGGAAGATGTGCAATCTCCTCCTGCATGATTTACTGCCTCTGAAAACCCTCTATAGAGTCAGTTATGAGTCGGTTCCAACTCCATGGCAATGAACAACAAAGAAGTGATAGCCACAGAAATGAAAAGAGATCCTCACAATAGTCTGTGAGAAAGGCCAGCTGTCACCACCTCCCCAGTGAAGGTCTCTGAGGCACAGGAGATAATCTCCGTAGCTTTTCTTAGAACCAAGTACCAGAGCTGGTACTCTAACTGGGCTGCTATGACTCTCCATCCCGTGTTTTTTTCTCTTGACCACAAATATATTTGTTCATTCTTGTCAAAGTGCCATCATAGAGTTTATCTCATTAGACTCTTGCAGAGTTTTAACATACTTGGTATTAACATCCTATCCATACTTATCATTTCCCTATGCCCAACCTCAGAGTAACAGCTTCCATGGAACAGTACCTATTAAATTTCTTCCAAACCAATTTTGATTGTTTTCCCTTCTTCTGTCTCACTGTCTGCCTCCCATCCCCTTCCACCATTACATCGATTTTGCCCTTGTGACTCTCACTTCTTCTAAATTATTTTCACATTTCAAACACCACCACCCTCCTGCATTCCTGCCTTCCCAGATAGTCTGTTCCCCCAGAACTCAGCCCTCTGTGTTTTCTTGTCTTTTTTCTTTTAACAGGACACCACACAGCTCTTCATTGTAACTGGCACTTTCCCACTCTTCTCCTTTTCCCCTTCACTCCTTGGCTCTACTCCCACATTCCCATATTTTGCAAATGTGATTAATTGTATGGAAAATTTTTTAGGCTCAGCAAACTTGAGGCCAAGGCTCCTGGGATATGTTCTGCTCAGCCCTCCTGCACCCTCTTGAGCTGGAACCCAGAACCATGTCACTGTGTGTTTATAGTGTCACTATCAGTCATCGTTGACTTTCTTTCATATGCATGCAAATTTTTAATGAAAATTTTGCTCCTCAAAAACAAACTAATGAAATTAATTGGTCTTGCATAGTTTTCATGTGTTTAACAACAGAACCATACCCTATCCCACGCAACACTATATCTTGGGTGATCCAGTTAACCCCTGCTCTCTGCTTGTCCCAGCTCTATTGCAGTAAGAGCTTCAGATTTTAGATTCTGAGACTCATTTGAACTTCATGCTTTTATACACTTGTTATGAGCTGCTGTTGTTGTTGTTAGGTGCCATTGAGTCAAGTACGACTTCTAGTGACCCTTTGTATAGAAGACTTGAGCCCTGCTCTATCTTGTGCCATCCTCATCGTCTCTGACACATTAGAACCCATTGCTGAAGTCACCATGTCAACCCATCTCATTGAGGGTCTTCATCTCCTTTGCTGACCCTCCACCTTTTCAAGCATAGTGTCCCTCCTCTTCAAGCTACTTGTCCAAAACATAAAAGATGAAGCCTTCTTGCTTGTAAGAACTACTCTGGTTGCACTTTTCCCAATACATATTCGCTTGTTCTTTTGGCTGTCTATGGGTTATTCAGTACTTTTCTCCAACATCGCCACTCAGAGGTACCAATTCTTCTTCTATGATCCTTATTCATGCACTACTTTTCCATCCCCTCACCCCCCACCCCGGATCTTCAGGTCTGCATCTGTTTCAAACACTCTTGCTGCACATTGTTCCTTTTGTATTTTCTTTGTATTAAGCAAAGCCCTCCTTTCAGTGGTGTCTCTGAAGAAGCACTCCCAGATAGCATTTGTTGCAGCATAGGCCTGGTTTTGTTCAAATTCCCTTAGATTCTGCTCTTCTGAGAATGTCATGATCTCTCCAGCATATTTG